TGTCAAGGAGCTGTGCCTTCAGATGCTGTGGAAACAGACACAGCCCACCCCCCCAACCCTCCCAGGCTAAGAGCAAGGGACTAGATCAGGGCATGTGCAGAAAGACCAGGAAACACTAGCCCCCACACTCCTCAGCCTCTGCAAATGCATCAGACCCCATCGACACTGGGCTGTCTGTTGGCTTCCTGTACCTCCCACGCTGTCTGCACACAGCAGGGAGAGACTCCACTGCCTGGACTCCTCACAGTTCCTTCATATACCTGACCTGTGTGGGTTGCCAGCAGCCCATCATAGCTTGTGATGTTGGCATGTGCTCTGACCCCTCCTCACGGCTGGGTGTCTTGGCATATTCCCGTGAAGACCAATGTTGTCACCGGCCTTCTGAGTCCAGAAGGAATAACAAGGCTTACAAGAAACCGACTGCACACTTACGATGCAAACATAGGGTGTGGGAGGGAGAAAGGATCGAGAAGCACGGACAAGGAGGGGAGAGGAGGGAAATGAAAGTAGACACAGTGACACAGCCAGTCAGGAGAGAAAGACATGGGTGGGACCCAGCCGGAGCCTGAGGACAGAGAGGGAAGCAGGGGTGGAGATACCAGGAGAGAATCCCGTGTGTGTGTGTGTGTGTGTGTGTGTGTGTGTGTGTGTGTGTGTGTGTGTGTGTGTGTGTGTGTGTGTGTGTGTGTGTGTGTGTGTGTGTGTGTGTGTGTGTGTGATGGTCTGTGGAGGCAGATTGTACCTCGCTCGGAGTCGGTCTGAGTCGTCCCACTGTCTGGAACAGGGGGGTGGCATGGTTCCACTAAAGGCCATGAGTGTGTGTCTGAAATGCTCTCTTTTGACGGAACTGCTAGAAAACGTGCACAGCCTGTGAATGTGAAGGTGGGTGTGCGGCCTGTGTAACTCTCCCATTTGGCATCGAAACGTTTCCTTGCCTTATCTGCTCTGAGTGAAGGCTGCTTTGTGCTACCCTAGCTCTGGTAGCATGGGGACACATGCCTCACGTCCACAAATAATGTTTGAGAGCAGCCTGCAGGCCAACGCTGGCGGAGACCTAGAGGAAGCAGGTCCAAGTCCCCAAGTCCCCCCATCCCCAACAACCGCCCCTGTCCAAGGCCTTACATTGGATCCCAGAACACACCAACCCAGGGCCAGGGACCACTGCCCAGCTCTCCTCCCTGGGGGCCATCGCCCTGAAGCACCCTGCTCTCAGGGCCCAGGCCTCCTGCACTACGGCCCCCGCCATCACCCACCAGCACAAAGAAGGATACCGCCTGGGCCCCGAAGCCAGGGATGTGCTTGATGATGGCCCTTCTGTGATCCAGGTAAGAAATGCGCCTCCGAAGAATCCTGCGCTTCAGCCGCCATAAGGCCCTGGAATCTTGGGCATTCCCAGCGCTGATCTCCAGCTGAAGACGCTCCAGAACTGCCAGCGGGTCCTGGGCTGAGGCAGGACGCAGCACTGGCTCTTGCTGCTGCAGCTCCTGTGAGAGCTGGGGCCCCTCCTCCGCCTCTGCATCTGCCTCAGTCTTCTCCTCTTGCTCCGGAATCTCCTTCAGCTGCTGTCTCTCCTCCTCCACCTCCTCCTGCTCAGGCATGTCCTCTGCTTTAGCCTAGGCTTCCTCAGAATTCTCCTCTCCAGCCACCTCTTCCTCGGTCGCCTCCCCGTCCTCTTCCTCCACCCCGATCACCACCTCAGCCGCCACCATTCCGTCATCCAATATCACCACCAATTCCTCCACTGGGCTTGCCACCTGTATCTCACACCCGGCCTGGGCTTCCCACTCCATCCTGCTCCCAAGACAGTAGTCAGAGTGATTTGTTTAACATACAAATTAGGGTCACCTGGGCGACTCAGGTGGTTAGCCATCTGACTCTTGATTTTGGCTCAGTTCATGATCCAGAAAGCATGACGTCATGGGGTCAGAACCTGTATTAGGATCTGTGCTAGGCATGAATTAGGCATGAAACCTGTTTGAGATTCTCTCTCTCTCTCTCTCTCTCTCTC